TGGCCCCCCCCCCCCCCCGCACTCTCCTTTCCTTAGTTGTTTCCAGGAAATGGGTGACACAGTTCTCTGAGCAGTTCTCTCTGGTAACTCTTCTTGGGTGCTAAGAAAAGATGGACTTTGGAGAGACCATCCACAGCCTTGGTAATTCCGAGCTGAATTTTTGTAACTGACTTTCAGTGAGATGATAGAGCTCTTTTGATTTGCTCCACAATTTCATTGAACACCTCTGCAAGTCAGACCTGTGCCACAGTCACAGAGTGATGGGGGGTGAGGAAGAGCAGACCATTGGCCAAAAGCCCATTTCCCTGCTGGGCACAGTGTGACACAGAGTGAGTCCAAGAAACTGCCTTTAATTTAGAACTTGTGTCTCAGTTTCTTTAGGGAGACAGAATGGGAAAATGAAACTATTTTAAAGTAAGACACTAAAAACTCCTACGATCAGTGCTCAGAAGGAGACTCTGAAAGGCCAAGTTAACTGGGTGTGGGCATGTGAAAGTGTGCATGTGTATGTGTATGTGTGTGAGTGTGTGTGTGTGTGTGTGTGTGTGTGTGTGTGTGTGTGTGTGTGTGTCAGGGTGTGTGTGTGTGTGTGTGTGTGTGTGTGTGTGTGTGTGTACCATGGTGTGCCTGTGGATGTCAGAGGACAACCTTTCAAAGTCAGGTCTGTCCTTCCACCACGTGGGCTCCTGGGAATGACAAATACATTTACCCATTGGGTCATCTTGTTGGTGCCCAGGTTAATGTTTTTAAAGCCCATTATAGGGCACAGGTAGCTTTCTCTTGACCTCCTCAAAGGCTGCAGGGTAGAAAGAGCGGATGATAAGGAACTGGTTCTTGTTCCTCCTTGTTTTTCCTGTTCCTTCTCCCAATATCCAGCTTCACAGTAGTGATTTGGACTTGGGACATTCCAAGTCATGAGAGCTAATTGATTATTTTTGGTTTTTGTTTTTGAAACAATGTTTGGCTATTAAACCCAGGCTGATCTCAAACTCACAGTCCTCCTGTCTCTGCCTTCCAAATTCTGGTTTTACAGATGTGAGCCATCATGCCCAGTTAACTTGTTAAATTTTCAACAGTCCTGTGAGTTGATTGCTAAACTTGGTCACTGTTAAATTGTATATACTTTATAAATGGGAAACGAACAACTCAAGCCTACATTAAAGACATGTTGTGTCCTCAAATTATACAGCTACTGGAATGTGTGTTCCAAGGTATTTATATATGTTAGATTTTTATAAACTTAGAATAAATGAATTATACTTAATGCAAAGCAAATACAAACCTCAAAACTCATTACTCCCTAATTATCTTATGATGCTACCATCACCTAAGCTTTTATGTCATGAATGCCTCTTGAATCTCTATGATGGGAAAGAAGGATTGGATCATGAATACTGCTGCACCTGTCTTCCTAGCTCTGTACTCAGTGTCATCACCATGGGAGCTTTAAATCAGCCACACAGGGAGTTAATATCATAGAAATTGAAATGACATAAATTAAGGTTTTCGAGAATGATGTGCGTCTTTGAGTCATATAGCTTTATCTACTGAAGGCATGTTTCAGTGTGCTTGTATCAAGCCCCTCTCTTCCAACACTTATGTTCATGTTTATTTTGCCCATCCTCTCATTTCCAGAATGAACCCCCTTCTAGCCTTACCTTGTGGAATCTCTGCTTCATGTCTCATGCTCCTCTCTGCAAATAGACATCAAGATAATGGGGTGGGGGGAGTTGAGAGATGGCTCAGAAGTTAAGTCTACTGACTGCTATTGCAGAGGACTCAAGTCCGGTTTCCAGCACCTACGTGGTGGCTAACAACCCTCTGTAACTCCAGTTTCAGGGAATTAGAGCCATATACTGGCCTCCACAGGTATTGTACACACATGGTACACCTGTATACATGCAGGCAAAACACTTATGAACATAGTAAATATATAGTATAAATATATACTATTTATTTATTTTTATTTGTACAAGTGTTTTGATTGTCAGTATGTTTACTGGTATGTATGTAGTGCCCTGCAAAGGTCAGAAGAGGATGACAGATCTGCCATGTAGGTGCTGGGAATTGAACCTGGGTAGCCACCTCTCCAGCCATATATATATATATTAATATATATATAACAGTATATATGCATATATATACTTATATAAATATATATTTTAAAAGGTAATTCAAGGTATTAGACTACTTAGCGCAATATAAAATCAATGATAGTATGCATTGAATCAGAGATAGTGTAGATATAAGATCTGAGACCTTGTAGTGAATTCAGTAGTGTCCCATCTCAAATTCTTATCTCCTCGGACTATTAGAATATGGCCTTATTTGAAATGAGAGTCCTTCAGCTATAAAGGAAATAAGAACCAAGATAAGAGAATACTGACCTTTTACTGATTAGAGGACCCTAAATTCACCAAGAATACCTTTAGAAGAGAAACAAAACAAAGCAACACCAGAAGGCCACATGAAGACCCAAGCAGGGATTGGATTTATGCAACTATATCCAAGGAATGCCTGAGACCCCCAAGACCTGAAAGAAATGAGGCAAGATTCTCCCCTAGAACTTCTGAAGGGGGGCTGGCTGTGTTAATGCCCTAGGTTCACAGGTTTATCCTCCATGACTGTGACAGAATTAGTTTCTGTTGTTTTAACTTACTGATCTTGTGATAGTTGTTAGAGTAGCCACAGGAAGCTAATACAGGTCTTGGGAAATTTGGCTAGCTCAAGGCTGTCAGGATTTGTATGAGCAGTATGCAGAGCTGTTTCCTTCACCTATAGAGAACAGATGTTGCCAGATCAGACCAACAAGGAAAGATGCACAGGTGATAATGTCCTGTATTCACAGAGCCATTTCTTAAAAGGCATCACGTTTACTACCTTATTTGATCCTCATAATTGCCCTGGGAGCAGACAGAACTAGTGGTGGTGTAAAGCAGTATCCAGACCAAACCTAGTAATTCTGACTCTGGGAAAAGAGCACTTTCCCTGGAGTATACTTATTATTCCCATGAAGACTCAGGAAGGTAGGTAGGAAAGAAACCCCACTAACTCAAACTCTTGAGATTTCCACATGCTATTCCATTAATCTTTCCAACAGTAAGAAGCAGGTATAATTTTCCCCATTTTACATATTGAGGTATAACTTGCTGTACAACTTGTTCAGTGGCTTAGAGGTGAAAAGGAAGGAAGGGATAAAAAGAAAGAAAGAAAGAAAGAAAAAAAGGGGTTCAAATCCAGAATTATCTGACTCCATCTGTGTTTTCTCTATTCACTGCACATTTCCACTACACTGAGCAAGAACCATGGCCAATCTTTGTGCTCATGATAACCAATAACTTATTATATACAGAATATTTCTTCTGGCACAGACCAACAAGCCATGAGCAGTGGGAGGATCCTGGGCATATACCATTTCCCGTTCCCAGCCTCTACCATCTGTGGCACAGCACCACTTCCTTCCCTTGGGCAATATAAAGCCTCACCCTAAGAGTGAGGGGGACAGAACTTCTGAGAACAACTTTACCCAAATTTTGAATAGTCTTTGCAATAAGGCCATTTCCAACTCCTTATTTTTAATGAATAATTATGTGTGTTTGGTGCATATATGTGTGTGCATGTGGACTCATGTGTGTGTGAGGGCAGGAGATCAATGTTGGGTATCTTTCTCTATAGCTCTTTTCTTTATTTTTTTTTTTTGAGACAAGGTTTCTTACTGTACCTGGACCTCTCCTTTTTAGCTAGACTAGCTGGCCTACGAGCCCCTGGGAGCTACCTGTTTCTGTCCCTAGCCCTGGAATTACAGGTACATAACTCTCGGCTTTTACATAAATGCTAGAAATATAGCCTTAGGTCTTCAAGCTTGTGTAATGAGCACTTTACTGTCTGCAGGCCATCTTTCCAGTCTGCATCTCCACATCTCCAACCCTCCCCTCTTCCCTCTCCCCCCATCTAGTCTCTCTCTCTCTCTCTCTCTCTCTCTCTCTCTCTCTCTCTCTCTCTCCTTTATGACAATGGGTGACAAAGTGACCTGCTTGATAGTGTCTGGGGCTGATGCCTCTGATCATCTTTGCTTCCCACTCAATGACCGCCTTCATCATGGCCTCTGGCTAGAAGGCCTATAGCATGAGCTAGCTCTACAGAGAGGAGACGCTGAGGGACATGCCAGACCATCTAGTTGCATAGGGCTCACGATGGGCAGACTTGTCTGGATAAGAAAAAACCCACAAAACCAAAATGAAAATACAAAATTCCCCCAAATTCTCAGCATCTCCTAGGAAACCTAATTGCAGAGTCTAAAACTGGCCTGGGGAAAACACTGGGAAAAATACCCATGTATCTGCCCTGCTGGGTAAGATGAGGAAGCCAACTGAGGCAGGTGTGATACAGGGGCTGAGCAGATCAGTAGACCAGAAAGCCTTGTTGTGGAGTGGGGTTGTGGGTGGAGGTGAGGGAGAGGGGGTGGTAAGTGAAGAAGGGGTGGGGAACTGGACTGAGAGGAGCTCTGGCTCAGATCCAGGCCCACACTTTAACTGGTACCACACCTATGGGACAGAGATTGCCCACTCCAAGTCCCTCATGGGGTTTCTCACATCAGTACCTCCCCCAGGGCTTGAGATTTAGTTCCGGGCACTGACATCTAAGGGTTGAGAAATACTGTGGACATCTGCTGTCAGAGGACTTCCTCTCCAGACGTCTTTCATTTTCACTGATGCTTCTGCTGTCAGACCCTAGAGCCAATGTGGTGGGGGAATCCTCCCCTCCAGGGGCCAGCCGGATTGACTGCCTCCTCACTGTCCCTTAAAGGGTAACTGGAGAGAGAGAGAGAGAGAGA